GGATGGATGGATGGATGGATGGATGGATGGATGGATGGATGGATGGGAGTTTTCACATGTAACAAACAAGAAAAGAGAACTAACATCTTATTAAGGCAAATGTAGTGAACTTAACCTGATGTCAAAACTAAGCCTAAGGTCAAAACCCTTGACCTTAAGAACCTTGTGGGACAGAAACTGTCATTGCATTGATTTGAATCCAGAAATACAGGTTCACCCATCCTGAGACTTTCCTTCTTGAAAAATCAAGTGAAAGAACACTCTCTTTTTTATTATCATTACTGTTTTACAAATGTTGATAATCAAAGTGTCTTAGTTCAAACCATTTTAGATGTTGCAGTGAACTGATCAATTTTATTAACTGTGAAACAGTGCAATGATTTTTTAATCCTTATGCAGAGTTAGAATTCATGTTAAGGTCTGTTACAGATTGTTATGCATTTTCTGATTTCTGTCTTTGAATGAGCAAGTGTGCGTTTTCCAAGGTCAGGAGTCGAAGCAGACATGTGTTGGAACAACTGTCTTGTTTACATCCTCTCAGACGTCAACGGAGGAGTTGGCACCTGTTTCTAAAACTCGCCAAAACAAAACTCTCTCTGTCTCTGAGAACAGTTTAATCTGTTCCATAACAATTCTTGCTGTTTTCTGACTTCTAGTAACCTCTTACGTCACAAACCACACCCCTGTCTGGTTGATATGGACCAATCAGGGACGCCCAAATGAACCGGGAATAGAGCTCTTTAAAATGCCGGTACTTGCTAGTTCTCAAAAAATCTGAGCAGTTCGGTGAAGGGCGGTGCAGTTCTGTGAAGTCGTTTGGGAGAACAGAAGTCCAGCATGATAAGGCTCCTCCGAGTTGGATTATAACATCTTCCACCTCTGAGTGGAACTTCTGAAGGATTCCACTCATGTGAAGTCCACTTGCTGAGGTGAGCTTGTGTCGGACGGAATCTCGTCACTACTTCGGACGAGTCACAGCCATCCTATGGAGACGCTGGACAGGTAGCGTTAACTGGACCTCCATATCTGCTGATTTATCTTCAGAAAGGTAATGAGTCAAGTTTCCTACCAAAGCGTACCGAGGAAAAGCTGGGTTCTAATGGAGAGTGTCGGTTCTGGTCAACACTTCGCCTCACACACCATCTTTTACTCCCTTTAAACTTCATTTCCATCTTTAAATTCTTCTCTCAAGTAGAAATCCTTCCAGATAATTTAGAAATGTCTGTGTAAAGTGCTCATCCACCGCCGTGTGGATAATTGATCATAATTGTACAGTTTTCATTGATGTCTGCTGTTCTGCTGAAGAGTGGAAACAATCGCCGCATTGTTTCTCACTACCTGTAAAGCTGTTAATTATGTTGTTATTTTCATATTTTGCCAAATTAATGTAAATGTTTGATGTTAAACTTTGATTCTGTAAAATAAATGACCGCATTCATTTTGATGGGTCAAAGATAAATGACGTCTCACGTTTACATTTCATTAAATTCAATGCACGTTTTATTCAGTCCAGAAAAATGAAGAATCCGTTTTAATTGATGAATATTTCTCAGCATCTGTTCATCTACACAAATATGTACAAGCAGTTGAGGATCCCTGTAAAGTGTGTGTTGGGGATTACCCTCAGCTAATACTTCATCAAACTTTAGCTTGACATTGTGTTTGCTAAGTTTGATTAGCTGTGGAGGCCATCTTGAATCAAGCTGACACTAAAAGTTAATCAGCTGTAGATGAATGTCCAAAGATTACTTCCTGTGGCGTTTATTAAAATTTGCCTCATGGTTCATGAGATATTTTGCTAACAGTCACAAACAAGCACACATACACAAGGGATTGGATTAATGCTGGAAACTTATGATGGTTGGGGATAAATCGTGTCATATTTATTTTAGATAGTTGGCCTGGATGATCAGAATAGTTTAGAAGGTTTTTACAATAAATATAAGATCTCTAAGACAATTATTTTCATAAATACTGTGATAATTGTAATAATTGTATCAATTTAAATGATTTGTTTCCATTAACTTACATGATGTTTAAAAGTTGCCTCATCAAGTTAAACAGTATAAAAACTAATATACAAACAATATAAATTAGAGTGAGAGAGTCAGAGAGAGAGTCAGAGATTCTTTATTGTCATTCACACCTCATGTGGTACATGTGGTGGAGCGAAATTATGTACACAGGGTCCCAGTTACATCCAACAATAAAATGTATAAGAAAAACAGTAATAACATCTAAGATATGAACTAAGAAAAACATCAACTAAATTATACACTAAGCACTCATAACATAAAAACACTGAACATCGGCACAAACATGAACATGAGTCTGTGTGAGCGGATGTGCACGCATGAACACATCAACATTGAAACAGATCAGCAGCAACATGAAACAGATCAGCAGCAACATGATGTGGTTTTTCACAGTGATTATTCTGGTTAGAGATTCATGAGTCTAACAGCCTCAGGGTAGAAGCTGTTCCTCAGTCTAGTGGTTCTACACTTAATGCTCCTCAACCTCCTTCCTGAGGGGAGTGGGGCAAAAAGTGTGTGTGCTGGGTGAGTGGGGTCCTTCATGATGCAGGTGGCCCTCTTCCTTCATCTGGAGGTGTAGATGTCTGTGATGGTGGGGAGGCTGA